TATTACTGAGTTATTATATTTTAGAATTTAAACCTAACATAGTCGTCTTAATCTAAAATTAATATTAATATAGACTATATAGTGACTTAGAATGTGTTTTATTGCACTACAGGAAAGCTTCTTCAATATATGCTAAATTTTATACAAGATTTATCTGAATATAAGAAAAAATTTCATGTCATGTGTCAACTCCTTACAAAAATACAGGGTTGAAAAAATTTCAATAAGTGTTGTTTTTTTAACAGATAATGTTCACCAAGTTTGGTTTCTTTAGCTTGATATACATGGAAGATAAAAAAGAAAAACAATTTTTTTTTAATTTATTTAATTTTTGGAGGGGCGTAACTTTTCAGGGGAGAGCTTTTTCAAAATATGTTATACCAAAGACCCTTATTAATTTTCATCAAAAAATTGCCCCTTACATTTGTTCGGTGTTATTTAGATACACAAGCTGAAATAAAATACTAAATTAAACTGTTGCTGCATTCAGAACGATAAAATAAATGTAACTTACACACCACTAATCTAATATTATTATGAATGTTAAAACTGTAATATAATTTTTTAATAAAATTTTTTGTACTAACTCCAAAAAACTGAGCATATAACAGGCTTGACAAAATTTTTCAAGTAACACCAAAATTAAAATTAGTTGCAGGTGAATAAGTGTAGGAAAAGTATTAGCAATGATAAAGATATTGGTTGGTTTTGCTATAACTGTGTGCTCTACAATCTTATAACAATAAAATAATGTACTAAGTGAAACACTAGCGAAACATATAATTAAAATATTTAAAACCCAAAAATGTAGTTTTATCTACATGACCCTTTGATTTAATATAAGTATTATGCACAATTACTGCCAACTTTCCATTTTATTGCACTAAATACAAAATTATCTATTTAATTAAGCATAAAATTAAATCGTTACTCGATAGTCTTCGTCAGGCCAATATTTTAATACAAAGTCTTATTCGCTTCAATGTTAGGAACCATTGAATCTGTTATCGAATATATTCCTCAGCTATAACAATGAGGTAATCAAATATACGTTTTCATATCAAATATAAATTATTTCCCATTGACTGAATGATACTGATATAAATCAAATATACTTAATATTAATGGCCAAATATAGAGCTGTCATATTTTCTTATAATAAATTATTAGCAGTTTTCCTTTTTCCTTTTAACTTTATTATTTTCATATTCAAAAATTCTGGCCGAACCCCTTTAAATTATTTATAAGACTGTTTTTCCCAGCGTAAATTTTAGATTTCTCAAATTCCTACTTTTAAGATATCCTTTGTGTTCATCTATTCTAATTTTACAGGTTACGAGTTGTCTATAACACATTTATTGTATCTCATTACATCTATTTCATTGTCAATACATATAAAAACATTGTCAACAAAATTTGATTGATCTTCTATATTTATTGGTACAACTTGTGTTATTTAATTAATTTTAAATAAATAGGAAACATAACGTGAATATTAGGAAAGCTTTGAGGCAGTAGTATTCGTGCTTTCTTTGTTTATTTGTATCACTCACACCGACAAAGGAGGAGTAAAAGCTTCCCTATTTAAAAAAACGAGTCCTAACGATTTTCCCGCTAACACCGCACTTGCCTCAATAAAAATATTTCTACTATCACCTATCTGGTAAGGTAAACAGCGTAAGCCAACCTACTTTTCCGTAACCGATGACAGATAATTGCTATCTAATTTTTAGATCAGTCTGGTGCAGTAAACGACACCACTCTGGGTAAACAGATGTCACTCTCGGAAAACGGATTATTCAGTACGCTTACTTTCGAATCTTTTCCGCCCGGTTGAACCTCCGGTCTCACGTCGGAATGAATGGACAACGAAAAAATATCGATTCATTAATAATAACACAGCTTACAACAACATTTTTTCCGACTCGCAGGGACAATATCTTACGATCGTTATAAAGCGAAGAGCAAAACGAAAACGGAATGAATAAATGTGTACTAAGTATACGTCATGTCTTAAATTCAATTTTTTCGTAATACCTACTGAGACAAAACATTGACATTTAAGATAATACAACATATATTTTATAGGTTATATCTAACCTACATTCAAAACCAGCTGGTAGATAGTTCTATGTTATATCGCTATATTCTTGCTTGTCTATACGTTTTATTATTATGAAGTTTAGAAAAATTTGTAAAAAAGGTCCTACATAATGGTAAGAGAAATAAATTATTTCATATACCACAAAGACGGGTATATTTTATCCCGACTAAATGGCTATTTGACTAGAACGGTTTTTATATAACCCCATAACTCGTTGAGGTCACTTTACGTTCTCACAGATTTATAAACCCACAATAAAAACTACTGAAGGTAACTCTGGCTGGTGTTAACAATTTTACAATAACCATTAACATCTTTACGGTTCTGGGTTTTTTTTTCAAACTGGCCGTTCCATATGGGAATACCTAGACTTCTGATTATCCACATAAAACTATTCCAAAAATAAAGAAGAAATAAATATACTCGAAAATAAATGAAATTTTGAAATTTTTAGCAATTTGTAAGTAAATACTACAATGTACCTACAGCGTGTTCCGATTTAAACAAAATATACGTAGTTTCAAAAAAAATATCTTTCATCAAATTGGCAGTACAATTTGAAAATGTTTCTAAAATTACATATCTTTAACTTCAGTAATCATCATATCACAAGTTAATAATTCCTTCCTAACCCAACCTATCTATGATTACTCAAATTTGCTAATTCATTCTTTTTCTTAATCAGATGTACAGGGTGATTCACTATATTTTGACCCTCCCCTTTAACTTTTTTGTTTTAAGAGTTACAAAAAAATGTGAAATACAAAAGTTGCAAGATTTTTTATGAAAATGATACTTGGAAAACAATTGAGGTCCAAACAAAATGGCCGCTGATGTTAACATTGTTAATTTAAATGGACCACGCTGTATATTTTTACATATTTGGATAGAACGTTCCCTGTCGAGCATAGTCATATAAGGTTTGTTGGGTCCATCTCTAACAATAAGCGAGATACTATTAAAAAACGAAAAGAACGCTTTTTATTAAGAAAATAATACATTTTGTAATTGTTAAACCTCTTTCAGGCATTTCTGCATTTTTTCCAACTACGTAAGAATTTACAGATAAAGTTACAATATATTTTGACATATCGAACATTGATATGGTCCAAAACAGTATAGGTATTTTAACTAAATATCACTAATTAGGTCGTGAGAGGCCTGATTACTCAAGGACAATGTTATATGGTAGGTCGTGACAGTGACAGGTAGTAATGTCATGATAACATTGTTATTCACTGACAGTTTGTATTATTATTTAATTAAAATAGGTTACACAGAACTAGAAAATAGAATAGAAACAAACCATATATGATTATGCTCAATAGGAAACGTTATATCCAAATATGTAAAAATATACAGGGTGTCCCATTTAAATTAACAAAGTTAACATCACCTGCCATTTTGTTTGGACTATCATTTTCGAAACATTTATAAAAAATTATTCAACTTTTGTATTTCACATTTTTTTATAACTCTTAAAACAGAAAAGTTAAAGAGGGGTCCAAAATGTAGTGAATCACCCTGTACCTTAAGGTCAATGAGCACTGTATGTTTGATTTCTAACTCTGTGGAAGAAAATTTCAAAGAACTGTTTTATTCAATAATTTATACTACTGAAAAATTTTGTTATAGTTCGCTGCTTTTGAAGACCATGACTAGAGTTTTAACAATTGAGAAAACCCGGAAAAATCGAAATAAACATTGTTTTTTCAATTTTTTGAAGGGGAAAAATTGAAAAAACTCAAGATACACTAAATATAAACACGAAAAAATACCAGAAATATTTTTCCAGATATACGTTGCTCTAAAAAACTTCACTGAGTATATGAAAACATCATATTTTAACAAAATTGTTCAGAACCGGAAAGCTCTAATCTCAAATTAATAGAGCTCAATAACAAATTAACAAACATAAAAAAATGGAATAAATTAAACTACTTATGTCAAGAAAAGTTACAATTTTAATACGAGCATTTGTATTGAGAGGCACCAAAAAAATTGTATCAAGAATAGGGTTTGCTATAATAAATAGATATGTTATAAATTCTAAAAATGTACCTGTCATTTGTTTTCTATTTATTATGTTAATGGCCTGTACACAAATAAATTGGTACATCCTGTATATAATGATATTTAATACATCGACATCAACAATTTTACTCAGGTGTGAATGAGTTGTGTAATATAATACGGTAATTCAATTTCAATAATTAAAAGCCAACAAAAAATAATAATTTGATAATAAAAGCCAATAAAAACATTTAAATTTAGGAACCACTCATAGATACCTAAACCTAGGAAAAAAATATTTCAAGGGCTACCTACGTATCTAGAATTTGAGAAGTTAGGGGTGGAAAAAATAGTATACCTTTTGAAACATTGTGTGTAATAAGAAATACTATAACTTTATTTCTAGTTTTCCAGTTAGGAGACTCTTCTTGGGCTTTGTAACACGTATTTAATTAACATCTAACAAATTGCGAAAAAGAAAATTTTTTCTCCAGATATATTGTCGCAACTAATTATTTTGTAATATATTTGCAATGAAGTAGCGTTTGTCGATAATAAGGCACTAGAAAAACGGCATAGCCATTAAGGCGTTAGAGGCGACGATTATCCGGCGAAACGCGACCACGTCGAAAGCGAAAAACTTCCCACCACCTCGTCCACCTGGCTAATCGGCTGCCCCAAAGCCGAAGGACCCGACAAATCAGCGTCCGGAACCCCGGCGTCCTCCCCCGCGCCTCTCCCCCGACCGCGAGGAGAGGCTGAATCGTTATCCTGAACCTCCGTGCTGGTCCTGGAGGAAATCAAGAGGCTGCAGCCAGGAGTAGTAGGGGAACTCTACATAGTACGGTGTACTTTCTTCACAAACTGTCAGTGTACAGTGCGCTCTCATCGCGTTACATGCGTCAACCGTGTCACCTCTCTGATGTTATTACATAAAATCCATTCGTATCTCAAAGATGTATTCTAGATAACCTGTGTGTAGATACATTTGAATTATTGTAGCGAGCGAACCGATTTCTAGTGCAGTGCAGTGTGGTGCTTTCTTTGCGTGTCGTCCAGGCCGTATCTGCGAAAATGACGGCCTTCTCCGCTTACTTGGTGGTAGTTTTCGTCGTCCTCAGCGTGGCCAGCGCCAGGAATAAGTCGCCGCTGATTGATGAAGAGCACGTCAAGACGCGAAACAAGGCCGCAGGTAAGCCGCCACACACATCATTTATCCGACCAGGGAAATATATATGCATTTGTTTACGCGGCGCAGAATTGCACAGCGATAAAAAATTAATTGAAATTCGCAATCGTATCACCTTTGACATTGACCAATTACCACGAAATCCGTATAAACATTGTGCGGTCATATGATCGGGCCCCGCGCCGTACGCCGAAATTGGCGTGTTTTTATTACATTCACCTATCTCATCGATACATTATTATCGACATATGGAATAGGTGAAGTGTTCCAAATCTGAATACAATGAGTGGTTATTAACATTTTTTACATCACCGTGCCAAAAAAAATATCGAGGTGCGAGCGGATTCCATTCATTCAACCGGCGAACGCGCCGCGTCCGGACGGCAAGGATAATTCCGGCTCTTCCTCCCTCCCGGGAACGCCGAACGAACCCCAATTATGTAATCCGCCTCGTTCCCGCGCGCAAGATGCACCGGCGACTCATTTTGGTAAATATTTACATTGCATAATGTTGATACAGCGATCCGGCAATGAAAAATCCTCGAGATGTGGTACAAGCCGACTTTGTAGGTCAGCGGTATTTTCACTCACCTGCGGACAGTCTCGACGGCGTGCGTATCTAAGCCATTTAGGAGACGCGTTAGAAATAAATCAAGAAAAAATTAGTCACCGCTCGGTCTAAATCCGTTAGATTTTCGCGACTTTAGTCATATTTTATTATTTTTAAGCACGGCCTGTCATAGCCCAAAAAACTGTTCTCCTCTGTCTCTGTTTTTTTTTCTAAGAAAACCTTTAAATAGCCTTTTCGTACTGCGACTGTCCATCGATTCTGAAATTCTGAACCCGCTACGACACTGAACAGAGAAAAAATTGTTTTCTAACACCTAACTGTTGCATTAATTACTTATTTATTATAAAAATATCGATGCAAAAACTTTAATGCTTTTTGCGCGACATAATGATAACAATCGAGGAAATTATTATAATTAAAATGTCGTTTAATGTGCTAAATGTGAAAATGACTTAATGGTTTACACCTTGCTTTTTTTATATTCTCTTATTATAGAGTTTTCTCAAGACAATTTCATTATTTAACATTTCTTAAATAATTTTAAACGATATTAAACAAATTCTAGTAAAACCTAGTCGTAATGCATCCTTTAGTCGATTTTTTTTCATTTGCAAATTATCTTATTGAAATTCTACTTGAGATACCAATTTTCAACAACAAACATATTTTTTCCTCTTTAGATATCTCGTCTATTTTCTCGTCAAGTAGTATAAATTTATTTATACTTATTACTTTTAACAATTTCCTATCTGTTACTTTTTCTAATAAATACATTTTTTAATTCGTCTTTAAATGGTATAACATCCTATATTATTTGTTACTTGAGCTCAACAATTTCCCTAAAAATAATTTCTTCCACAAATTTATCAAAAAAATTTAATACCACCAGGTACATATTTATTTCACATATTTTATCGCGTTTCGAATTTCTCCTTGCATATTTTCAATCGCTCTGGCGGCACTCGAAAAAATGTCAGTCATAAAAATTTGTCACCACCGAACGAATGCCGCATCTACGTGACCGTTGTCGTTTTATCTAACCCCTGATAGGACAAACAGTAAAACGTTATCATGCATGCATCGATTAGAATCGATCACCGGCATTACGGGCTATGGATTCCGCGACCGTCGAAAAAACGCGCACTGCTTTAAGACAATAAACCGGGCACGGCATTCGGACTAATTGCCGTACAGAAAAGGGCCTGACACGCCGGAACGCGACCGCCGAAGGTCACTACGTGACCGGCACACCAACGAAACGCACGACGGAGGAAAAGATCGTTCACCATAAGGTCACATACGTCCCGGCCACGTCAGGGCGTACCAGCGAAATCCACTCCCAAACGCCCAGCAAATTGGCCAGATTTAACACCTACAGATTTTTAACGTACTTAGGTACAGTAAAACACTACCAAAGTTACAATTAAAAATAAAATATATATTTAAAACTGTGACCGGCTAACACGCCGGATTTGGCACCACTGGATTTTGAGAGAAAACAGGAGAATCATAGTATTTATTTCATTACGCACGTATGCACACTCATTACGCGTTATCTGGGTATAGTTTACATTAGGAAAGCGAAACGTACGTAACGGTAGTCGAGTGTTTTTATTTTTACGCTGATATCGACAAATTACGAATCTGTGCCCGCGCGAAGGTCGTTCTAGAGGTAAAGTTCGAATTACTACTAATTAGCTTTAGTTAACGACATGTTCGATCGATTATCTACCGAACGATTCGCGCTTTCTTGCCTCTGTCGGCATTTATATGTGAAATGCAAGAATTTTTGAGACGGAGATCTTAATAACTTGTTTTCTCATATGCATATCCACGCTTACTTCAAGGATCTATTCTTGGGCTGCTTATGCCTATAAAATACGTTAAGGTGGCCATATCCCTGGCCTAGTCAAATTTCTGGCGTTTTTAGGTACTGAAATCTTGAAAAGTAAAATGTGTAGAACAAAAGTAAGCACACAAATAAAATCCTTGATGTTCTGTTTATTCATTGTTACCATTTAAATTTACTCAAATAAAATAATAACTAAAAAAAAGCGTTTGTAAAACATGCGTTTGCTGTTATCCTAACCCCACATTTTAAGAATTATTTTCACCTACTTATAAATAAAAGTAAACAGTTTTATATGTAGGACTAAGCAAGTAAATGTTATAAGAATATTTACATGTGGAGTTATATATAAAAAAGTTAGTATTTTCGTAGATTTCAGGATCTAAAACCTTGATGGTGTGATCATTTTTTGCACGTGTATTCGTTTTACTGCGGCGTCTTTGCAAATACTCAGGCATGACATAACATTCCTATTATTTGATAAGCTTTAGATTATTCAGTTATTAAATGTTTGAAATTATGTCTTTGCGGAAAACACTATTTAAAGAATATGGCGTCCTTAATGACAAGCGTCATGACTAGCATCTGGCATTATAGCATCATCCATAACCTTACTCAATGATGGAAATGTTAATAGAGTTCATATTTGTCAAAATTGTTATCAACCATTAATACGTTTCTTAAAACGCCTTGATAATTATATATTTTTTCTTGTAATATGTGCGCTAAACACAAACTGAACTGCACGATAGAATTGCTTATCCCCATGTCGATTATTTTGTTCTTGCACATTATGCCCGTATATTTGTTTGTTCTACACATTTATTTATTTCAAATATTTACATACTTATTTTTCTGTAAATTTTGTGTACTGATACAAAATTTTGAATGTACTCGTGCCCTGCTTGTATAGTATAACAACAGAATAACACACTGATACAGGGTGTAACAAGAATAAAGTTGCAAATTTCGCCAACAGATAGAACACTTAAAATTAGCAGGGGTACTTCACATAAAATTTTTGCCTAAAGTGCTTTCTTGTTGAGATACAGGGTGTTGAAGTTGAAAAAATAAATAACATTTTCTTTAATATCTTTCGACTACTTCGAGCTAATTTCGTGAAATTTCGTATCCCGGATTTCTCATCTCAAAAAACCCCCGGATTTTTTGAGATGAGAAATCCGAATTTATCGACGATATCGTTGTATCTTCTAGAGGGCGCCACAAGCTATCATTAGGACGCATTTAAACTGCCAAAACTTTTTTGTATCGCGGTGTATTTTACTTTGGTCTGGAAAAATCATTTCCCCCAATTTTTCTGCTTTGCTAATATCTCTAAAACCAACCGTTTTCAACAAAAAGGCATTTATATTTGTAAATGCATAAAAGAATTTGTTTGAAAGTTATTTTCAACTATACTGATAAACATTGAAAAACATATTTTTTTAAGACAGATCAATAATACTTATTTTTTAGATTTTTGGATAGTTTAGATTGGTTACATTGTTTCGATTGTGTTAGATTAATAGTGTTTTTAGAAAGTATGTTTTTTACTCTGTCAATTCTGTTTGTAGTAAAATTGTTAAATGAACGATATTTAAAATTGTAATTGCATTGTTCCCTTTAAAGGCATATTTCTTGCTAATAAGCGATTGCACCTAATTTCGTTTAGCCTTTTTAACCTTATTTTTGTTGCGCCCTGTATATGTTCACACTTTTGTCTTCGAATATTTTAATGGCATCTAAATATCCGCCGGAAGAATACATTTTAGAAGTAAATTCTTTGATAGGATGTTTTTTACAATAAATTATTTAAATTGTACAGAAATTTGCATAAATCAAATATTTTTATATACTTTATGCGAAATGGTGAGTTCTTACAATGATATTTGTTTGGATTTATTTTCAACTTCTTTAGTTTTCTCAAACGCATATTTCTTTAATAATATCATTTGCAATTTATAATTCTTCTGTACCTTTGTTTCATGCATATTTCTTGAATTTAGTGGACATTGCAGTGGGTTGCTCGCCTGTTTTTCTCACAAATGGTAAATAAATAAATAAAGATACTTTAGTTCTGAGATATTTACTTATATACGTTATTTTTACACTCGCAATTTTGTATTGTAAATTTTATCTAGACAAGAGAGTAACGAAAGATTATATTACTTTAATGCTATTTCAGTAAATTATCTTTATTTATGGGATTTTTGTAAGCATTTTCCCAATGATGTAGAATTTTAAACTAATATGGGTTATTACAAGTAATATTGTGGGAAACAACTACTTTGCGAGCTCCATACTCCGTCCAGCATTGAGTTGTATCGCAGCGAAAAGTAAGCAGCTTCGTCAGCAACAGTTTCGAACTTATTGGTTCTCAGCAGTGTGCCGTAGATAGTATGAACGATTTAGTTATTTGGATGTCTATCTACCATCATGTTTTTTTCTCACCCATATTCAAAACATGGTTTAGGCAAATATTAGATGTATTTTTTTATGATACAAATGTAATCAAATCAAATACATGATTTGAAATTGGAAACTTAAACACTGACACAATAAACATTTTATTTGTCTCTTCAC